CCTTAACACCTGTGGCTGCCCTGCTGCAGAATAGGCTGCCTCTTATTCTTCCTCCTGTTCTTTCTCAGGAGGAGCTTCTTTCTCTCTTACTAACTGGATTGATCTCTGCTTCCATTGTTTCTCCTTGACTTCAGGAGTAAATATTGTAGTTAAGGGTTGTGTTTCTAGCCATGGTGTTTGTGTGGTCTCAGAATGAGCATCATTCTCATTGTTCAGTTGTGTGCCCCTAGATAGGGAGGCTCTCTTAGTCTTTTGGGGGTGCTGGACAGACGCTCAATAGGCATGGGCCCTGACAGAGCATTAGAAGTTATAGAATCATAAAATCATTCAGATTGGAAAAGACCTCTAAGATTATCGAGTCCAACCTTTTAGCAAATATCACCATGCCCACTAAACCATATCGCAAAGTGTCACGCCTATGGATGGCCCCATAGACTTGTGAGTGTCTAGATGGCACAGCAGGTCACAAACTACTTCCTCCTGGATTATGGGAGGCAGGGGGGTTATTCTGCTCCCTGTCCCTGTCTAACAGCTCAGGAGGCTGGGTACCCTGAGTATAACTGGTCTTTCTGTTAAAGACTGAGGCAAAGAAGGCATGAAGTACCTCAGCCTTTTCCTCATCCTTGGTGGCAATGTTCCCCGCTGCATGCAACAAAGGATGGAGACTCTCCTTGGCCCTCTCTTTGTTATTAATGCATTTGTAAAAACATTTTTTCTTATCTTTTACAACAGGGGACTGATTGAGTTCTAGGTAGGCTTTTGCCTTTCTAATTTTCTTTCTGTATGACCTAATGACATCCTTGTACTCTTCCTGAGTTGCCTGCCCCTTCTTCCAAAAGTGACAAACTCTCTTTTTTCCCCTGAGTCCCAGTGAAAGCTCCCTGTTCAGCCAGACCAGTCTTCTTTCTCACTGGCTCATCTCATGGCACATTGGGACGGCCTCCTCTTGCACTTTTAAGATTTCCTTCTTGTACAGTGTCCAGCCTCCCTGGACCCTTTGTCCTTCAGCACTGTTTTCCAAGGAACTCACTCAATCAGTGTCGTGAACAGGCTAAAGTCTGCCCTACGCAAGTCCAAGGTAGCAGTTTTGCTGACCCCCTTCCTTACTTCACTGAGAATTGAAAACTCTATAATTTTGTGATCGCTATGCCCAAGACAGCCTCCAATCACCACATCTCCCACAAGTCCTCTGTGAACAGCAGGTCTAGCAGGGCAGCTCCCCTGGTAGGCTCAATTACCAACTGTGTCAAGAAGCTATCTTTCACACACTCCAGGAACCTCCTGGCTGGATGCCAGGTACCCACTAAAGTCACTCTCTCACTCCTCTCTGCAACTAGACAGAGGAGAGAAAATACGAAAAAGGATTCATGAGTTAAGAGCTGGGAGAGGTCACTTACACATCACCATCATGGGCAAAACAGACTCAAAGTGGGGATATTAATTAAATTTATTACTAACAGGATCAGAACAGAAGAGTGGGAAGTAAAATAATCTTTAAAACACCTTCCCCCCACCCCTCCTTCCTTCCAAGTTCTACCTCCTCCCCCCAGCAGTGCAGGGAGACAGGGAATGGAGGTTGTGGTCAGTTGTTGTTTCTGCCGCTGCTCAGCAAGAGGAGTCCTTCCCCTGCTTCCCATGGAGTCCCTCTCACGGAAGACAATCCTTCACAAACCTCTCTGGCATGAGTCCATCCCACAAGAGACAGTTCTTCACAAACTGCTGCCACATGGGTCACTTCTCCACAGGGTGCAGTCCTTCAGGCACAGGCTGCTCCAGCGTGAGTCCCCCACAGGGCTACAAGTCCTACTAGGAAAACCCGCTCCAGCCTGGGCTCCTCTCCCCATGGGTCAGCAGGGCCCTGCCAGGACCTTGCTCCCAGCATGGGCCTCCCATGGGGTCACAGCCTCCTTCAGGCATCCACCTGCTCTGGCGTGGGCTCCTCCACGGGCTGCATGTAGATTTCTGTACTCCTGTGGTCCTTCATGGGCTGCAGGGGGACAGCCTGTTTCACCGTGGTCTTCATCATGGGCTGCAGGGGAACCTCAGCACCTGGACCACCTCCTCCCCCTCCTTCTCCACTGACCTTGGTATCTACATTGTTGCTCACATGTTCTCACTCCACTCTGGCTGCAGTGTTCCTCTGCCCAACAGGTTTTTTTCCCTTCTTAAATATGTTATCACAGAGGCGTTACTATCACTCCTGATTGGCTCAGCCTTGGCCAGCAGCGGGTCCATCCTGGAGCCAGCTGGCATTGGCTCTACCAGACATGGGGGAAGTTTCTAGCAGCTTCTCACAGAAGCCACCCCTGTATCCCCACCACCACCAAAACCTGGCCACAGAAACCCAATACAACTGTCTCCATTCTGCTGTGTTGAACTTCCAGCAGATATCTGGCAAGTTGAGGTCCCCCACGAAAACAAGGACTAGCAATCATGAAACATCTGCCAGACCCTTGTATAATGCTTCATCTGCCTCTTCATCCTGGTTGGGTGGTCTATAATAGACTCCCAACAGGATATATGCCTTGTTGGCCTTCCCCCTGATTCTTACCCATAAGCACTCAACCTTATCGTGGCTATCACTGAGATCCATACAATGGAAACACTCCCTAACATACAGAGCCACCCCACTGCCTCTCCTTCCTCGCCTGTCCCTTCTGAAGAGCTTGTAGCCATCCATTGCAGTCATGTGAGTCATCCTACCATGTTTCCGTGATGACGACTACATCAGAGCTTTCCTGCTGCACAATGGTTTCCAGTTCCTCCTGTTTGTAACCCATACTGTGTACATTGGTGTAGATGCACTTCAGCTGGGCTATTGATTTCACCCCCAACACTGGCAGGCCACTTGCAGGCTCCTCTCTAGTGAGCCTGGTCTTATTCCCTTCCCACTTCAAACCTAGTTTAAAGCCCTCTCAATCAGCCCCACCAATTTATGGACTAGAATCCTTTTCCCCCTTTTAGACAGGTGAACTCCATCTGTCTCCAGCAGGCCTGGTACCATGTAAACCACCCTATGACCAAAAAAGCAAAAATTCCACTGATGGCACCAGCTTCTGACATACATGTTAAGCAGGTAGGTTCTCCTGTTCCTTTCAGTGTTCTTCCTTGCTACTTGAAGGGATTGAGGAGAACACCACCTGCATACCTGCCCCTTCAATCAATCACCCCAGTGCCCTGAAGTCCTTTTTGATCACCACTGGACTTCTCTCTTCAACCTCATCACTGCCAACCTGAACAACCAACAGTGGGTAATAATCAGAGGGCTGTACCAGCCCAGGGAATCTCCTAGTAATGTCTCTTACTCAGACCCCAGGGACGCAGCAGACTTCCCTGTGGGATGGGTCTGGCCAGGATATTGGGCCCTCTGTTCCCCTCAGAAGACTTGCCTATGACAATTACCCTTCTTTCTTTCTTCACCCAGGCAGTTGTAGCACACGGGGTTGAGTGACTTGCCCTAGGCAATCCCCTGGATGGACCTTCATCTGAATCATTATTTGCCTGGCCCTCAAATTCATAGAATCATAGAACCAGCCAGATTGGAAGGGACCTCTGAGATCATCAAGTCCAACCCTTGATCCACTACTGTCATGGTTACTAGACCATGGCACTAAGTGCCACATCCAGTCTCATCTTAGAAACCTCCAGGGATGGTGAATCCACCATCTCCCTGGGCAGGCCATTCCAATGCCTGATTACCCACTCTGTAAAGAATTTCTTCCTAATATCTAACCTAAACCTCCCCTGGCACGGCTTAAGACCATGCCCTCTTGTCTTACTGATAGCTGCCTGGGAAAAGAGACCAACCTCCACCTGGCTACAAACTCCTTTCAGGTAGCTGTAGAGAGTGATGAGGTCTCCCCTGAGCCTCCTCTTCTCCAGGCTAAACAATCCCAGCTCCCTCAGCCTCTCCTCATAGGACTTGTGCTCAAGTCCCTTCACCAGCCTTGTTGCTCTTCTCTGGACCTGCTCAAGCACCTCAATATCCTTCCTGAACTGAGGGGCCCAGAACTGGACACAGCACTCCAGGTGTGGTCTCACCAGCGCTGAGTACAGGGGAAGAATCACATCCCTGGACCTGCTGGTCACGCTGTTCCTGATCCAGGCCAGGATGCCATTGGCCTTCTTGGCCACCTGGGCACACTGCTGACTCATGTTCAGCTTCCAGTCAATCCAAACTCCCAGGTCCCTCTCTGCCTGGCTGCTCTCCAGCCACTCTGCCCCCAGCCTGTAGCGCTGCATGGGGTTGTTGTGGCCAAAGTGCAGGACCCGGCACTTGGCCTTGTTGAACCTCATCCCGTTGGAATCAGCCCAACTCTTCAGCCTGTCCAGGCCCCTCTGCAGAGTCCTCCTGCCTTCCGGCTGATCGACACTCCCCCCCAACTTAGTGTCATCTGCAAATTTGCTTATGGTGGACTCAATCTCCTCATCTAAATCATCGATAAAGATATTAAACAGAACTGGGTCCAACACCGATTCCTGGGTGCAGCACTGTTCACCACCACTCTCTGGGCCATCCAGCCAGTTCTTAACCCAGCAGGGACCTCCCCAGTGAGCCAGGACTGTTGGTAGCAAGCTCTTCTGCCAGCTCCCTCATCACCCTTGGGTGGATCCCATCTGGTCCCATAGACTTGTGGGGATCCAAGTGGCTCAGCAGGTCGCTGTTTCCTCCTGGATTACAGGGGAGCTATTCAGATTCTTATCTCTTTCTAGAAGCTCCAGAAGCCAGCTGTCCTCAGGACAACCTGTCTTACTATTGAAAACTGAGGTAAAGAAGGTGTTAAGCACCTCAGCCTTTTCCTCATCTTTGATAACTATATTCCCACCCATGTCCAGTAAAGAATGGAGGTTTTCCTTGCCCCTCCTTTTGCTATTGATGTATCTGTAGAAGGACTTTTTGTTATCCTTCACAGAAGTGGCGAGATTCAGTTCAAGTTGTGCCTTCGTCTCTCTAATTTTCTTTCTACATGACCTAACTATATTCCTAAACTCTTCCTGAGTAGCCAGTCCTTTTTTCCATAATCGGTAGGCTCTCTTCTTTACTCTAATTTCCTTCAAAATCTCCCTGTTCAGCCAGACCGGTCGTCTTCCCCGCCGACTTGCCTTTCGGCACACTGGGACAGCCTGCTCCTGTGCTTTCAAGACTTCCTTCTTGAAGCATGTCCATCCCTCCTGGAACCCCTTTGTTTTCAAGGGTTGTTTCCCAGGGTACACTCTGAACTAGTCTTCTGAATAGGCCAGAATCTGCCCTCCAGAAGTCCAGCGTAGAGGTTTTATTGATGGCCCTCCTTGCATCCCTGAGTATTGAAAACTCTATTATTTCATGGTCACTGTGCCCCAGACGGCCTCCGACCACCACATCTCCCACCAGCCCCTCTCTGTTTGTGAACAGAAGGTCTAGCAAGGCCCCATCCCTGGTAGGCTCATTTACCAGCTGGAGCAGGAAATTATCCTCTATATGCTCTAGGAATCTCCTAGACTGCCTCTTCTCCGCTGTGTGGAGTTCCCAGCAGACATCCGGCAGGTCACCCACAAGAACAAGGGCTGGCAATTTTGAGACATCTGCCAGCTGCTTGTTGACGACGGCCAGGAATTCACTCCGACAACAGGCAAAGGCACACGGCAACTTTATTTACATTAAGCTTAGATTTATATTCTTTTTCTCTGTCCACACGCAAGCATACTATATTTCATTGGTTAGATACTTCTGTTCACATGCCTAAACTCGTCTTTTGATAGGTGGTCGACAGTCCTTCGCATGCTGGCAAACCTCAAAAACAGCACTTGTTATTTACAACAGTTTTGCTATTTTTCTACTTTCCCATCCTAGATTGTTTACATTCTTTAGCACTTCAGAGCTGCAACTGCTCAAATTCAAGGCCTACCATCCAGTAGTTTCCCACAGCTTGTGGAATAATTCATCATCCTCATCATCCTGGTTGGGTGGTCTGTAACAGACTCCCACCAGGATATCAGCCTTGTTGGTCTTCCCCCTGATTCTGATCCACAGGCACTCAACCTTATTGTTACTGACTTCAAGTTCCACAGAGTCAAGAGACTTTCTAACACATAGAGTCACCCCTCCACCTCTCCTACCTTGCCTGTCCCTTCTGAAGAGCTTGTAGCCACCCATGGTAGCACTCCAGTCATGCAAGTCATCCCACCACGTTTCCGTGATGGTGACTTCATCATAGCTTTCCTGCTGCACGATGGCTTCCAGCTCCTCTTGTTTGTTACCCATGCTGTGTGCATTGGTGTACATGCACTTCAGCTGGGCTACTGATTTCACTCTTAACTCGGGCTTTCCACCCTTATGCTCTTCCCTGGAGAACCTCGTTTCAATCCCTTCCCCCTTCAAACCTAGTTTAAAGCCCTCCTGATCAGCCCTGCCAACTTATGGGCCAGATCCCTTTTGCCCTTGCTAGATAGATGAAGCCTATCTGATTTGAAGAGATTAGGTACCATGGAATTTGCCCCATGGTCAAAAAAACCAAAATTCCGCCAGCGGCACCAATCCTTTAGCCACCTATTGATGAGTTTTCCTACTCCTCTCTTCATTCATCCCTGCTACTGCAGGAACTGAGGCAAACACCACCTGTGGTCCTGTCTCATTAACTAATTGACTCAGTGCCTTGAAGTCCTTTTTAATCGCCCTGGTACTTCTTCCATTAATGTCATTAATGTCATCACTGCCAGCCTGGACTACCAACAGTGGATAATAATCTGAGGGCCAAATTAGCTAAGGGAGGCTCCTACTAATATCCCTCACCCGGGCCCCGGGAAGGCAGCAGACCTCCCTGTGGGATGGGTCCGGTCGACATATAGGGCCCACAGTTCCCCTCAGAAGGGAGTCACCAACTACAACTACCCTTCTTTTTTTTTTTATAGCTGTGGTTGTAATCCGTCTGGTAGACAGGGTGCAACCAGGAGACCCTGCAGACAGATCTTCCTCTTGACTGTCCTCTACCTGATTCTCTGGGTTCAGGGCCTCATACCTGTTCTTTAAGGGCACCTGGGGAGGTGATGGGGGGCGGGAGGGGATTCTTTTACCTCTCCGGTCAGGGACCTGTTTCCACTCCCCCCCCATCTACTTGGTTTGCTCCAACTGCCTGATGGCAGGAGGGGCAAGGCTTCACCAGTCAATTTCCCTTTCACTTTCCCTAATGCTTCTTAGCCTCTTTACCTCTTCTTTGAGCTCTGCCACCAGGCACAGCAAATCATTCACCTGCTCACATTGTACACAGATGCCACTCACACTGTCCTCTGGTACTAAAGCCAGGCTCAAACGCTCTGCACAGCCAGAGACTTGAACAGCTGTGTCCTTCTTGGGGGTTCCATCTGTGTGAACACACCCCTTGTGATAATAGCAGCAGCAAAGGCTTTTGCTTTTTTGGAAACCATTGCTGGCTTGAGTTGCGGGGTTAAAAAAAAGCTCACCCGAGAGAACTGGGAGGTGGCTGTGCCCTTTCTGCTTGCCCTGCCTGCGTGAACTGCCGTGCCACGTCCCTGTTCACCATGCTCCAGGTCGCTGGCGCTCCCAGCAGCTGTTTAAATCGCTCCCAGCAGCTGTTTAAATCCTTCGTGGATGGGCTGGGTTCCGCCCCCTAGTCAGCTGATTGGCCTCCCAGGAGACCTCCAGCAGACCATGTGCAGCTCCAGCAGCCCTTTAAATTCCAGAGCCTCATACCTATTCCATAAGGGCACTTGGGAAGGTGAATGAGGCTAGGAGGGGATTCACTTGCAACCCCAAGAAGGGACCTGTTTCCATTCCCCCTCATCTCTTAGGTCTCCTCCTTCTGCCTGGTGGTAGGAAGGTAGGGGATCCTCAGCTTCTTGTGATATGTCCATTTGTCTCAAGGATGGTAGAGAGTGGCTCCACCAGTCTATCTCCTTCTCACACTCCCTGATACTCCTTAACCTTTCTACTTCTTCTTTCAGCTCTGCCACCAGGCTGAGCATAACATCCACCTGGTTGCACCTCACACAGGTGTTATCTCCGCTACCATCTGAGAGCTGCACCAGGCTCCGGCACTCTCTGCAACCCAAGACCTAGACAGTCACATGTTTATGTAGGAGCTCTGTCTGGGTCACCACATGCCTTCTGGTGATGGCTTTCTGACAAGTGGAAACCATAGCTAGGTTTCTTCTGGGAGGACGATGCCAACTAATTGGGCTCACCTGCTGAGTCGGTAGGGGGACTGCATCCTCCCTGCACTCCCGTCTTGCGCAAACTACTACGCAAATTTTCACACCCCGCCCTGACTGCTGCAACACACACTTTGCATGCTCTGTTGCTGTGTCATGACCTGGCTGATGTTCCACAACCTGCATGCCCTCTGTGTTCGCCACGCTCCCAGTCGATCATGCTCCGTGGGGGCTGCTTTTGTACAGGTGAGGTTTGACCATCTTCACTACTGGCCCTGCCTACACTGAGTCAGTGCTGCTGCTCGCCAGGGTCTCGACACTTCCTGCACTGGGGAGGGGGGCTGGAGCACCCTCTCTCTCCCTCTGCACTAGCTTCACAGTTTTGCCAGTTTTCGGGAAACTCCCTATGGTCTCCCAGCACAATCCTTCACTCATATTATGTCTACCAGAGCAGTTTGCTATGGAGACTTGCTGTGTTCCATTGGTGCAGGCAAGACTCTCCTCCTTCAAATGCCAGAATCATAGCATCATAGAATTGTTAAGGTTAGAAAAGACCTCTGAGATCATTAAGTCCAACTGTTAACCCAGCACCACCACGTTCACCACTAAACCGTATCCCTAAGTGCCATATCCACATGCCTTTTGAATACTTCCAGGGATGGTGACTCAACCACTTCCCTGGGCAGCCTATTCCAATACTTGACAACCCTTTCTGTGAAAAAAATTTTCCTAATATCCAATCGCAACCTTCCCTGGTGCAATTTGAGGCCATTTCCCCTTTTCCTGTCTGTCGCAGGGTATCTTGTCTTGAGGCCTGGTCCAGTGGGGGAAGAAAGACGCACAAGACACACAAGGATGATGAGACAAGAGATGTCTGCCTGCTCAGCGCAGCAGGCAGCCTTTTATTGAGCTTACTAAGTTCACACACAACACAAACATATTCCTACAACAACACCCAGGAATCCAAACACCTGCACATAATCAAACCGTCTTAACCTTGTACTCCCTGCAACCCAAGGCCGTGTCCATGGAAACCATCTAACCAGCTCCACTGCTTCCATGGAACACAGCCTAACTTTTGCACTGCCTCAAACTTTAATTGTGGGGCTACGACTTCCCCCCACAAATCCCCCTTTTCTGTAGTTGTGCAGCAAAGACTGCCCGTATCGTATCCTGCAGGGCCCTTTTGCAGGAACGACACTAAACAAGGCAGCATCAGCAACACAACCACAATCACCAATCTTCCAGAAATACAAGGCCCCTCCTATTGGCTGTGCAAGGATTCCTGGCCAGATTCTAATTTCTACAAAGGAGTTCTAAGTTGCTATTACAAATTAACAACATATGTAAAATTAGTAATAACATTTAAAGGCTGATTAGGAAATAACTGAAAAGCAAGAGTTACAACTCGAAGTTCCACAAATTGAGAAGAATCCTCTTGATGAACATAACCAAAACCTCACCAGGTTCCATAAGAGTGGAATTACTTATAGTGGGAATTTGAAGAGTTCATATACCATCCAGAATAAGTACTCACTATGATTCAACAGAATCATGTTACACACTTTTTTTTTTTTTTTTTAAATCTTGACACTTACCAAAAGTATTTGTAAGTCTGCATTTCCACACAGTTTCTCTCTCTCACACAGTCTTTTTCCCAGCATACATAGGTGGCCACCTCAGTCATCTGTCACTCACACACACATTTTAAGTATTTATTAGCTGTGTACTTCTTATCAGTCTCATTACTCGTGAGGGGAATGTACGCCACATTTGGTAACATTAAATTAGAAATCTTGTACAACTTTCCATGCAAAAGACAAGTACAAAAGGAAAGGCCAGGATACCATCCTGGGAAGTTTCAAA